TCACAGATATAGACAGTTGACTGGATTAAATCAGGCAAATTATCTAATTAGTTCAACTGTCCCATTTACTAATTGAACATAGAGCAGAATATTTTTAACTACAGTATGACTCAAGGTGGGCGGTTTGGGCTGCTCTTTGGAAAATGGAAATTATACACCTCTGTAACACTTTATACATGTTATATGCATTTATATTGATATGCTTTAAAATAAAACATGCTGCACTTATTCTCTTGCCATTTATTTGTAAATCACTGTATTCTGCACACACGAAATTATAAAGTTGTATTTCCATTTGTGTCCTATTTATAAGAAATTAGCTTAAATTGAACACTAAACATATCTATTAGCTTCCCACAAACCATACATAATCTGGAGCATGTGAAAGAAGTCATATAGGAGCCCTGGGGAGAGGGTGGGCTCTCATCCTGCTCCAGCTACTTGACAGCTGTGAGTGCCCCTAATTGCTGATGTGGTGCAGGGTCTCAATCACTTGTGAGTGTGTGTCAGTGTGTGCATCTTTCAAACACAATCCTCTTTTCCTTGTGGAGATTTCTAATGGGATATATCTCCTTCAATTTCAAGATATAATTAACATAGCAATAGAAAGATTCCTCTTCTAACTGTAAAAACAAATAATTAATTTAAGAACACACTTATGGTTCCATGTGTGATGGGATTACCTGAAATGAACAAATCCTGTATCAACTGTATTTTTGTGACCTGTTTGTAGTCAGTGAAAGAAATATAGGTTTTGGCCTCTGACACTACACTTATATTTCAGAAGTCATCTCTGACCTTCCAAAGAATTGGCTTCTCAAATTTGCTTCTGAATAATGAAAGCTATTGGATTATCTAAGAGATTTACCCTTTATTGAATTTAATTTAAAGCTAAGTCATTTTAGAAACCACAATTACCCACATGGACCTCTACTTGAAAAATTTGTATAATTTGAACACAGAAAAACCAATTGTTTGAAATTTAATAAACCATTTTCCTCTCAGGCTCAAAAACCAGGAGCAGTGCAGAATAGAACTTAATGTGTGAATTATAAACTTCTGAAAACAGAGGCTTATAATCATGATTTCAGGGTTTTTCTTTACAGTGTATTCTCCAATGCCTCAGCCAATATATTTCTAAATATCCCAAGAGGCTACTTTCTGAGCCTGCTCTCTTCACCAGCCCAATAACTCAGTGCAGGTGCATAATTTTTCCAATCTTAGCCTCAATTTTTCCTGGGAAATTTCACCTGAGCTGACAGCCTTCATATAAGCCAGAATTTCATTCTGACACTGACTACCTGGATATTCCAAATTTCATGGTCCACTTTCAAAGCTCTGAGCTGAGCTCTGTTTTGTTGGCAGGCCCTTGTGTGGACAGGTTTCTGAATCCGGGGCTCCCTGTCCCCTTCTCTGTGTGGGACACCCCCACCTAGCCAGCTCAGCCTTGGCCAGAAGTCAGGAGACCAAAGCTCTATCTCCTCCAGGGCCTGAGCACAGCGATGGCCAGAAGGAGTGTGACCCGTTCCTGGACTGGCCAGATCTCTATCTAACAGCACAAACACCCAGAGCCAGGCTTGAAACCCAGCAAGGCCAAGGCTCTTCATCTTTTTGAAGCTGTGATAATCTATGCAAAGCAAATGCAGGGTGTGGTGCAGAATCCCTGCAAATCAGCTGCTATTATTATTCTCAGAGTTGCTACTGTCTCCTGGAGCTGTGGGGGAATTAACTCTCTGGTATACCATAATATACAATTATCAGTACAAGAAGCCCCAGCCCCTGGAGACAACCTGGAGAGGATTCCATCTCAGCCTTCCTTTGACAGGCCTGGAAATGAGCTCCACTGAGGCTGGGGCTCCCTCTGGGAAGCTCACTGCATGAACATGGGCCACCTGCTCTCCTGTCCTCTTTCTTATCTAAGAAAGTCCTGTGCAAGTCTGCAATTCAGTTCTCACACTAGCTTTGTAGAGTCAGGGTGTGCCTGGAATTTGGACTTCTTTCTTAAAGCCGGCCACAGGGGGCAGCAGAGGCCAACGGGGCACAGAACAGTACCCCGGAGACAATTCCAGAGTGGCCCGAAGGGCTCTGATGTCATCTGTATGCACAAAGCGGCTCTTCCTCCAAACCAGGAGGCACTTGGTATTGTGGTGAAGACAGCACCTGACCAGCCCTCACCAAGGACCAGTGCTGCTGCTGGACAGGGTCACCCACTCCCGAAAAGCCAGAGGACTTCAGCTCCTGCCTCAGGTCCTTAAAATGCATGTCACATGCAACCTAGGTAGTTTCCAAGTGCACATTCTGAATTGCACCTGCTCCCTTTCAATTTGAGGGTTGCTGGGAATTTCACATAAGAATAAATTTCCACTGGGTAAGAGACACAAGGAATCCAGCTTTTCCCTCATGTCTTTGTACGGTGTACCTAACAATGTTTACAAACAAATCTCTCAAAAGTAAAAAAGAGGACTTTGAGCAAAGTGGTAGGCAGCTTTATGACCCTGAAAGGTGGTAATCTGCTAGCAGCAGTTGGACATCTTCCACTGTCCCCTCTGTCCTTGGCCACAGCAACAGTTGGTGCTAAGAACATTGGGGATTTCTGTGTAAACGCACACCTCACTCACCTGATTCCAAAATTAGCATCTGATTCTATGTAATTATTTATTTTACACTCATTTGTGAATTTCATGCCATATGTCTTTTTAAAAGGATGAGCTTTCAATGCCTAAAAAAAAAAAAATCAAAACTTAACATACACCTAACATGAGAACACTGTTTCTCTTAGGCATGTAAACAAGTTGAATAAAACACTTAATTTAATTTAAGCAATTAAATTTTAAGATCATATTACAGAACATTCACAAGGAGGAGAAACACAATCGATTAGGAATAACAGTTCAATATACTTAAAGAGAAAATGCATTTTTAAAACAAGGTGGATCCCATTATCATACATAAGATATATTTATTCAAATTCTTATGTATGAGGCTAGGAATTTGCAAATTAATGAAGAGTTTCCCAGAGGCAAAAACATCTTCAAGATTGGGGAGATTTATTTACCTAAGCAAGAGCTGCAGAAGCCTAGGAATGAGAGTGTCATTTGAGAGAAGACTTTTAAGCACTGAGAAATGCTTGAATACATTCTAGACTTAGAGGATAAGTTTTCAGTTAATATAAGCAATAGATCTGAGACACACTTAAATCATCTCAGAAAGAGGAGAAACTCAGGGGGGGGGGGAAGAAAAGGAAAAATGCTCCAGAAACAGCACACACAGAAATTCTCCCTAGCTCCTTCTTTACTTACCCGATCTTGCTGCCTGAACTGACCACAACTCATAGACTCAACTCTGTCTTCACCCAGAGTAAACTCTTCCCCTTTCACTCCTTGTAAGCTAAGCCTAGCTGATTGCCTTTCCCACATAATAAACCATTCACAGATGTTCAAACATTAAATTGTCTCTGCCTCAAGTTCACAGTTTAAATATCTTCAGTTCTCTACCTTTACTTCCTAGATTCTCTCCACCACGTACTAAATTCACCAAATGCTGGTCTTCGCTCTGAACGCTCTCTCCTCCAGGGTCCCCAGGCAGTCTAAATTGTGGAGCTCAGAACTCCACTGAGAGCAGAGGCTCACATCAAAATCTCTTCAAGAGATTGAGCTCAAAACTCCAGCAGCTTCAAGCTACTGCCTCGAGCAAAAAGGCAAATTGTTACAATTTTTAACAGTAGCATATAGGAATTGGATGGAGAATCCCTGCATGCTGGACTCCTTTTCTGGACTGCTTGTAAAATTTAAGGCAATCCACCCACTAAGTTTTTCTGCATTTTGGTCACAATATTCAAGCACTGTTGCTAGCTGGTTTTCTAATGCACTGGTACAAAATGCAAGACTCTACTGCTGTAACAATTTTGGTTGTCAGTTTCCGAAAATGATAGAAGACAAGAGGCTAAAGGCAGATTCAAGCCCACACATCATTTTTCCTAAATTTGCAAGAGAGACAACACTTAGAGTTTGCCTTTATTGGAATCCTTCCTTAGTCATATTTTAAGTTTCAAAATGGTAGAAAAAAAAAGTTGATCGGAACTCAAAAAGAAATAACCATAAAGTCACTCTTGAGGCTTTGTAAGTGTGCAAAAAATACTTTGGGCACAGAATGTGTGGCGAGCCCGCCCGAGATTCCCTTGCCCAGGTGAGCAGTGGTCCTGGAGGATCGCAGTCCTCTCCACAGCGAGACTCCCCGTGGTGCAGGACAAAAAGATTTCATCTAATATGGCTCACCGCTTGCCACATTTTCAGCACCAATAAAAACAAATTTGCAAAAATCCCGCTAAGCAGTATATAACGCCCACTGCCAAAGTGCTTCTCACATTTTGAAACAGTTTTGAAGTTCTGCCTGACAAGACAAACATAGGAGGACCTGAAGCCATCACAAAAAGTCTCATTTAAATTCCTGGAAAGCAGTGCTCTTCCAAACACAGCTATTCAGCTCGCTGGAGCACGGCGTAGAACTTCACTTGTCTCCTGACATCAGCACCTTCTGTCCAGCGGAGACGGACGTCTGTTCCGCGCTTAAAGGAATGCACTCAACAGCCACTCCGCGCAGGGCGGCGGAAAGTAAGCTAACCCCAAGCGGAGTTCTCCACTGGCCGAGAGCATGAGGATCCACACAGTGCTTTAGGATCTCTAAGACCTCTTCCACCCCACAACACTGTAGCTACAGAGAACAAGACACCAACAAAACGCACTTCGAGCTGGAAGACTACTTTCGCGGGGGTGTGGGCCAGGGAACACAATACAATTCTTCACTTCTACCCACAGCCCAAATGCAGTGCAATAACTTAGCACCTTTACTGAGCCAGCCAGGGTCCCTACCCAGGGCGCGAGCCCCCGTGTCGGTCAGTCGCCCTCTCCTCTCTGTGTCCTGCTCCCCTTACCCGCGCTCCATCCTCCATCCTCCCACGCTGGGACTCTGCCGTCCCCGCGCCCCACTCCCCGAGCACCAACCTGCTCCCCGCCGCGCTGCGTTGCAGCCCGGAACTCGGCGGTGCGGGGCGCGCGGGTGGGGCTCGGGGACGCGCGCCTCACATCTTATCCCCGGCCACGCGCCCCGCACTCCCGTGACGTCCTGCTCTGCGGGGCTGGGACGGGGACCCTGGCCGGGGTCCAGTCCTCGGGCCACTGCCACTGTTGGTTCCTGGGGAGAGCAAGCGTCCCGGGGCTTGCGGGTCCCCTCCTGGTCGCGGCCTCAGCCGGCGGATCCAGGCCAGCGCCACGCGCCTCGTGGTCTGGACGGGCTCCGGGTCCGAGGGGCAGCGGTGCAGGGCGCGGGGCGGGCGGCGGCCCCGGAGCCCGCCGAAGAATCCCGCTCCCCGGCTCCTCCCCTGCCTGGCCCCGCCCCTCCCCGCCCCGCACCCCACTCACCAAGCGCGCGCCCGGTCCGGAGTCGTCCGCGTCCCCGCGTCCCCGCTCGGGTACAGCCCGCAGCTCTAGCTTATGTCCCGGCGGCCGCGGACCCAGCTGCGTGGGGCGGCGCGCTGTCCGCAGAGGCAGGCTGCTCTTCACCAGCCTCCATCCGCCTGGCGCCTGGGGGCTGCCTGCCAGCCCGCCGGGAGCGGGGCGCGGGCCTGCGGGAGCCGGCTGAGAGCGGGGTCACCCGCGGGGACGCGCCCTGCCCTGCTCTGCCAGCCCGCGACCTGCGCGCCCGGGGCGCAGCGCGGCACCCGCGGGTTCTCTTTGTTCCTCGCGCTCCCGAGTCGGCGCGGCCCTGCACTGCCCGGGCTCCTGCGTAGGACAAGGACCCTCCCTGGCCAGCCTGAGTTCTGGGCTCCGGGTCCCCGCGGCGCGCGCTGTCCCCACCAAGGCCCCAGCCAGGGGACGCTGGCCCGGGCCGAGGCCGGGGGCTGCGCGGGGACCACCCGGAGTGGCGGGAGGAGATTTGGAGGGCCTGGGTGTAGCGTGCGGAGAGTTCATTGGTCCCCGCGGCCCTCGCCTTTGTGCCACAGCAGCTGTCCCGGGACGTGGTCGTGGCGCTTTGTCCGCGCATCCAGGCGGTCTGGACTGGAGCCTGTCTCTGCCGAAGACGCTGGAGCCTACCAGGGCTGGGGAGAGGGCCTAGGAGCAGGAGGGGTCAGGGGACATTGCGCAGGGGGTGGGGGGCTGTATCCAGAACCCACCCTTGTCCTGGTGACTAATACTCCACTGCGTGGACTAATTTAGAAACCTCAAGTATATTCATGGAACTCCCAGAGGCTTTGCAAAGAAGGCAGGGTTTTGACTGAATTACCCAATGCGTTCGAAGTTCACCCATGCGCCCTGCGCTGGAACTGCGCTCCAGGGTGATGAACAGAGCTCTCTTAGACAGGAAGGGGACCGAGAGATGGAGAGGGGGGGAAGAGGGAGGGGGAGGGTTGACAAAAGAACTCAGATGTGTGATGTCCACGCACCAGCTCCCAAGAGGAATGGGATTACTATGCACTGCAAACATGCACTCCTAAAACAGTAAGAATTGAACAGCAAAAACAAAAATAGAAGTTACAGGGATTTGACTTAAACCTCATAGTGTTAAGCTACAGCGCTTAACGGGAGCATGGCTGAGGAGGGCAGCACAGGGCCCCAGATTGCATTACCTGCTCCTGACACTTGGGGATTCTTCAGACCTCTCTGATGTCCCCCGGATTAAAACAACAAACTATATCTCATAAATGTGGAATGGGCAGTGTGCTAACAGTGCCCCCCGAAAAGTGTCATGCCAGAGACATGCCGCAGCTGGGGATGAGGGCCCCAGAGTGGCCTCAGTCTCTTTGACTTTGGAGTTTTTGTCCCTACAATGGATACATTAGTACTGTACCTGTCATCAGAGCTGGTTGTAAGGAGTGAACATCTTTTAGAAGTGTCTTTCCTAGTGCCTGATATATGACAGCTAAAAAATTGTAGTAATTAATATATGATTGTAACCATTATGGAAACACATTTCTACGTAATACAAAAAATATTTTGCACACTTCTTAGAGGGAGTAACATTTCTTGTTCTTTTTTGCATAACCTCAGCAAATCTGATGTCTTAATGACTACCATAAAGAAATTTTAATGAATTAAATAAGAGTAGCAAAATAACAACTAACTTGGTGCTTGTAAAAAAACTATCACCTTAAGACAAATAAGCGAAGTGTTCTGCATTTTTAGTTGGATTGAGCTCATTATTTATGATTCAGATACAAAATGAAGGGGCTGCTCGATTAATCTATTGCCTCCCAGGGATCGTGGTGCTGGTTTGTGTACATGGAGGCTTGTGTTAGTGACTGTCTCTATCAGAGCATAGTGGTAAATGTCTTGACAGCCTTCAGTTTAGTTGCTCACAGTGACCAAAGACAAAAGCAGATTGTTTTTATTGGTTTACAGTTCTAAGAGGAATTCTTGAGATCTGGCACTGTAGTAGTCCTGTCCTTTAAAAATAAAAACAGAAAACAGGAAGCATTCCAAAACTCAATTTCTGCTATCTGTTGGCTCACTGGAACCTGCAATTCCTTTTCCTGTTTAAAACTCAGGTCCCAGGAAACTCCCCCACCGCCATCCCAGGCTCCTAGGGCAGAGAAGGTGAGCCCATTCCAGCACCCAGAAGGAAGCTCTCTCACTGCCATCCCAAGCTCCTAGCGCAGAGAAGCTGAGTCAGTCCCAGAACCCGGAAGGAAGCTCCCCGCTGCCATCCCAGGCTCCTAGGGCAGAGAAGGTGAGCCGCGTGGGTGCCAGAAGCACCCCCCACACACACACACACCGTGGAAACGAGAAGACACATAAACAAGTCTCAAAAACAGACTTCCAGATCACCTACAGCAACCCCAAAGGGAAGCGAGATGGAACACTCTGATACTCAACC